CCCCTCGATGCGTGATAAGATCACTATCTTCCGACGGAGAGTCCTCAAATACCATTTCCAATGCCTCCTGGATGGACAATAAAGTCTTCTTTCTGGCTGCCATTGTTCAAATGAAGAAATAAAACAAATCCGGCTGTTTTCGCTGATAATCCTGCTGTCTCGCTGTGCCGCTAATCTGCCATTCTCTGCGCTCCTCTCAATGTGGTTCTGCTGCGTCAGAAATGTAGCAGGAGTGTATATACTGGCCTGATGTACACTTACGCAGGACCCTATCTCTGGAACCCATTGGTCGATTTGCGTGATTTACACCTTTTTTGAATCGTTAGAGCCAATAGAATCGAGTGGCAGTTGGAAAATACGTAAATACTTTACGGCGGGGGAGGGGGAGCTATGCGTAAACTGCATGTCAAGCAGCTGAAGCCACGGACTCCTAATCTTTGTACCTACTTTTCTGCAATGAATGAAAGGATTGATTGATGAGAAACAATTCTAAAGTGACTAAGAGACATTGGATTAACCTTGAGCAGCGTTTTTATTCCGTTGAACACAACTTTTGATCACAAAAATCACAAGGTAAGACCTAATTATTGTCATGGATTTGAAAACTGATGTTTATTTGCTATGTTCTGGCTGCTAGCTCAGTGAGTTCTTGTCATCCAGTGATGATACTTATATCAAAATAATCAGTGGAGTATCAGCTTTCAGATGATATGTAGTTTGTGCAGAATATATTATTATTAAAAATCATTTTTGCTAGTTAGCTCCTGAAGTAGCATTATCCCGTTTTCTCTAGGGGCTAATGCTAACGCTTCTTGTGAGACTTGTGTTTTGTTTCGGTAAAAATGGCTCATATCATCAGTTAGCTGAGTTTTTTCCCGTTAGAATGGTATAACACATTCATAGTTTTTGAAAATATATATTTAAAATATTAAGAAGTGTCGTGAAAAAAAAAAAAAGACCCGCCGACGGGGTCGTTGGGGCTTAACAGGTTAACTAGCTCATCATCTTCACCAGTCAGAAAATGTCCGTTAGCCGCGAGGCTAGTTTCCGCTATGTTAAACTCCATTGACTTATGCTAAATGTTAGCGATCTAAAGGTCCGCTATTTTTGGCTGTTTTGAGTCGACTTCAGTTGACTGTAACATCGAAAAATCTTCGAAATTGAATGTTCACAAAGCTGCGGACCGATTAAACACTTATACACGAGGGAACTAACATAGCTAATTTAACTAACGTTAGCTAATGTAGCTGTTGTAGTGCCGAGAGACGGGACATACGGATTAAGCAACTAGACTACTTGTAGTGTACGTGCAGAATTATTTCAATTTAAAATAGTTTTAAATGCTCACACACATACCTGACTCTCGTGCTGTATTTTCCTCTTGTTTCTTTTTAATTTTCCGTTTCGAAGCACCTGATGAATGCTTTCTCTTTGAAAGCGCCATCATCAACACAGACAGAGGCGGCAACGCAGATTTGAATCTGCCAATCAGATCAATCTATTGCTGGAGAGGGGGGGGGGCTCCCAGAAATCTGTGAGATTGATTGGTGATGATCACTGGCACGTAATGTGTCCAATGAGAACGTTAACACGTTTTAGAAAGTTATGTTTAGCGAAGACGGAGGTCAGCCACTGTCAGCCGGAAGTGGCGCATTCGATTACTGTTTGGGCTGTCTGCCGTGGATGGGCTGCATTCCACTCCAAATAGCCGGTCGGCCATAGCCAGAATCCAAACGCAAGCTGTTTTATGGATTCTCATTTAATTTCCAGGAATATCTCAGTACTGGGTTATTTCCAATTTCAAAATAAACATATATTTTAAATAAATAGAAATAAGAAGTAAGTATATTATAGTATATTCAAGAATGAAAAAAGATGTGCATATATATATATATATGCGTGCATATATGCATATATATATATATATGTGAATATATATATGCATATTTGTATATATATGCATATATATATATATATATATATATGCGTGCATATATGCTTATATATATGCATATATATATATATTTGAATATATATATGCATATTTATATATATGCATATATATATATATATATGCGTGCATATATGCATATATATATGCGTGCATATATGTGTGTCTGTATATATTTATAAACTGTATATTATTTTCCATCATTCAATGGACAATGGAGTATTTGTACTTGTTGAATATATACCATCAAACATATGTTCATATATAAAGTGGGCAACTATACAAAACGAAGTGAGATAACTGTTTATGAATATCTGTTCAATTTTATGTAAACTTGTGTAACTCATGAAAGATAAATGAGTGTTTCAATAAAACTATTACATATACAAATGTATAGTGCAGTTTTTGTTTTCATTGCAATATTTTGTTTTATATGTATCAATATATAGCCATACATGGTCCATTAAAAAATATAAGGACTACTTTCCCATATATGGAAATGTATGATCCAGTATATTGTATTATATTTACCAATATATTTGTGTTTCATAAGGGATTGAGCGCTTGAATGGAGTACTGAAGAGGCGTTTTACATGCCTGAACTACCCAACGAGCATGCTGCATAACACTGGCTTGTATTGTGCTACACAATATCGCTGTCCATCGCAGAGTCCCCCTCTCTGACATCGATGATCCCCCAGAGCCCCTCGCACCTGCTGATGATCTAGGCCCACCTATGGATTTCCCTCTAAATGAGAGACTGAGTGGTGGTGCAATGCGAGATGCTATTGTCCGCAATTACTTTTGAAAGGTGATGACAGATGATGGACCTTTTTTTTGTTGAAGATATGTTTTCTTTAATCTAAATTACATTTGTGATTGACAATCTTTGTTGTGATACTTTTATGAGCATAAACATTTATGTCATCAACATTTGGTTGAAAACAAAATAGGCCACCACAAATGTGAGCAAAAATGGAAAAATAAAATGTATTTCCCATGAAGGCTAAAAATGGTGTATTATTTCAGTTAACAAACTTTGCCATCTTATTTAAATTGAAACATATTTTAAAAATAAATTGTACAGTACATTTTGCTGGAAATCCACCTCCTGGTGGGATCAGGATAATCCATTTTTTGGGGATCAAACTGATCCCAATCCTGTGTTGTCGGTTTTGAACTACCCAAAATCCAAATCTGATCTGATCAGATAGGGATTCAAAGTTTTGAACTCCTGGGCCCAGAACACAGGGAACATCAAGAAAAGCATAATGGGGCTCCTTTAAAGTATCAGATTTGGATAATCACTGTTTAAATTAAGCTCCTCGATGCACTTGCAAGTATGAGTGAAGGTCAAGAGATCAGTGAAAAAGATTTACATTTTAATTTAAACCTACCACAAGTCAAATATTAGCATAGATATTTGAAATAATTTGTCAATGTTTAACAGCATGACAAACTAGAGAATACAATTCCTGAAGAAATTGCTAGTGGGAATGCTTTATGCTGAAAAGCTGACGCTGAATTGCTATGCTGAAATGTAATGTGTAAGAAGAAAGTGAAGAATTTAGATTGAAATGATACATGAACACTGGGGGCTTGAATGTGTGATGAGAAGAAAAGAAAGTAAAAAGGCTTGGAAAAGCAGCAGAATATTTGAACTGCAAACTTTTGAACTAACTTGAGGGCGAATGCTCTATCACCATGGCAACGGCATTTGATGACACCCCATAATACGCTTAGATGTGTTGATGGCTGCATCGTTACCAAACCTGTGAAGTTTTGGGCCATTTCGAGCATTTGAACTGAAGTTGTGAGAAAACCGTGTTTCATAGTGAGCGTTATGTTGCCAAGGCAACGGCATTTGAAGAAATCTTAAAACTGAGATCAAAGGTTTCCATGGTGATGTGCAGTAATCAGTGAGAGGAGAGCCTTTTCATTGTTCTGAATGAGATAAACCTCTTACATGTGAACGTTTTGTTGAAGAACCGTAACAGATATCGGTGAAATTTCAACGCGTGAAGCATCTGAAGGAAGTTGAGCATCTGAAGTGTGCTTTTTGTGTACTTTCGGGTTAATGTGGCCTTTTTGGCAGATTAACTAAAGGTGTGCGGCTAATGCTGTGAGTAAAGATCAGCTTGAATTTACAATTGGCTTTAATGGAGACATGTTGAAAGTTTTTGTCACTTCATGCCCTCAAGAGGCATTTGGTTTAATTATGGTTTAATTATTTTGCTTAATTTATTTTTATTTTTCAAGCTTCAAGATGTTTTCCTACATTTGTCATGAGAAATTAAGTCTCAGGAGTGTAGGGTTTGGGAATTATGGCAGGTTTAAAAAAATATATAAGGCGAATTTCAAGCTGTCCTCCACTCTAGCTTTGAGATCACACACACACTAATGTTAAAATCTGAAGAAGGCCTCTTTACCAAGGTCTGAACAATGTTTAATATTTCTAAAAGAATGAATCAGATTTAAGTTGTTTAACATGAATTTCAGAAAGATGTGTAACATTTTAAAGTTGCCATCGATTCCCGACCGAGCTGAACGTTTTGATGTTTGAACAGAGTTTTTGCGACGTGGAATGTGGGAGAAGAGGCGCAAAATAACCCGGCAGAATAAATAATTTGGTGCGTCGAATAAAAGATAGTTGGAATGCTGCATCAGCATTCCCACTAAATAATTGAATATGCATATTTTAATCAGTGCTCATCTGCTGTCCTTTTACCTGTTCAGTATTCACAGGTTTCAATTTAGTGTCTTTCAGTATTAAATAGAGTTTAAACAAGAATAGTAAAATATGGCACACTTTTGGAAAGGTATTTTTCAAGCCTCAGGAGACTAAAGTTCAAGGTGCAATGTTATGATGAAGCAGTATGTCCGTATTGTATGCCTATTGCATGAAACAGTACATACAGGCAGTTCCTGTACAGTACATAATACATTTAAATATATGTGATTTGGAATGGAGTATCAGTTTGGACCTCCACATAACCATAGAAAACACAGATGAAAAAAACCTCCAATATTCCCAAGAAAATACTACAAGTGTGAATTATTTAAAAATATTTTATTAGGACTTTGTTTAAGAGCTCATTATAATGATTGGTCCTGAAGTTACGTGTTTGAAACCAGGGTCATCTGAAACGTCACGATTTTGACCTGTGGGAGAAAAAAGAAAAATATATATCTTAGCCACTTTATTCAAAAGTCATTGTCCCATTTTATAATTTGAGCCAACATGTGTAAACCTTATTGTACATTACTGGATAATGAAATCAGCATGTATGAGAGCATACCCTTCATCGTGTTGTCCTGGTCTGAACACTGCACATTACAAGCTGCATCCACTGGATTTCTAACATCACAGATTACCACCTCACAGTGGACAAAGACCTACAAGATATGAACAGATTTAAGGGTTTGTTATAGACAGCGTACTTTTGTTTTCCAAACTCTGATTCTGCGTTCACACCGGACGCGATGCGAATATTCGCTTCGCTCTAAATCACATCGCTCTAAACGCTCGAGTTTCACCGCGGCTGCCGGCTGTGTTTCCTCGCATCATTCAAACAAGACGCGCTGGCTCGGGAGCTACAACTACAACAAAATGAACATATTTTACCGTGATTAAATTGTAATACACGTTTCTAAATTATGCCGAAGTAACAACATACTGATACCGGTTAGTAAAAACAATTAATTAATGCTTGACAAGTCTGCAGACAAGACGGCAGGCGAAAAACCTTTTAAAATGCTTGTTGAATGAAGATCGGGTCGACCAGGCTAAGATAACGTTGTATATGCTCATTCCACACTCATAACAACGGCCTACAGACATAAATAAACCAGTGACTGTATTCGCCATGACACAGACAGTCTGGTTTGTACTCGTTTAACTTTTGGCCAGTTTCTGAACAGATATGAGGAGCTGTGAGCTCTGTGTGCTAACTGCTAACGGCTAATGTTTTCTGGTTGAACGTCAGGCTGAGATCCTCACCGCTGATTGGCTTCGGCGAGAACGCGTCACGTGAATTTTACACTCTAATTGAAAAAATGTAACTCTCGCATTTGACGCGGCACCGTTCAATCGCGTGATTCGCGCCCACCGCTTCATGCTCGCCGTCGGAGCGAATTCGCATCTGTCCGCGTCTCTGCATTGACTTTACATGTAATCGCGCCGCCCCCAAACATCGCATCGCGTCGCGTCGCGTCGGGTGTGAATGCACCATGAAGCATCTAAAAATAAAAAGACCATTTATTCTTATAACTGATAGTACCTGGCGGTTCAAGTTATCCTTGTCTTCGACGAAGGCAAACATCGGGACCTCAAACCGCTTGAAGTTGGAAGGATAATGAACTCTGCCCTTAGGCAAAACAGAGTGGAAGATCACTGGGTGCGGGTCCCTTGAGTTTGCACAACTGAGGGAGAAAAAAAAAAAGTTATTTTATTTGGGTAAAGATGTCCAAAAGTCTGCAAAATGAGCACCCTATGATTTTAAACCATCCCTTTTGTTCAGTTTGACAAACAGTTAATTGGGACAAAAAAAAAAGAAATATATACAAGTTACCCATTAACGATGAGGTCCCATCGAGGGAGGGTCATCTTGTCCTCCTCCAGCGTCGCCCAGCAGTACGCCAGCTCAAGAGATACTTTAGGGTTGTAAGATCCCATCAGTTCCACCTCGAAATACAGCGGCTGTTGGAACTTTGTGATGGGATCATCCTCAACGCGCTGAAACACACTGTAGGAGTCGTCTGAAGTGAAGCAGAACATGTTGACCCAAATTAAGGATTCAGACGGGAATAGAAACAGCCTGTACACAGAACATTAAGGTGCATAATGCAGAAGAGTTTAACTTGGATTTACATAGTCAACATCCCAGGTACCAACTCAGTTCATTGGTTTAAAGATTAACTTTATGAAAAAAACATTCCAATTACTTAAAGCAACTAGATTCATATGAACTGGCCAAGTTACCCAAAATCCTGCATTTTGATAGAAAGTGTTATGCTATCTCTTTGCATTAAGCTTTTTCAACGTGTTGACATGATCGAAAGAACTCTTATTTCCCCCAGTTTCTAGCTTTGGGAGAGTTTCCAAATACTAAAAAAAGAATCTAATCCTTAGCAAGCAAGACAAAAACAAACCACACAAGGCATGAAGAACTTTCTTTACCCAAAGCAACTCTCATTTCAACCTGCATCTCGCCTCTTGCATCGTCAGCGTACGGTTCACTCCTGCGAGGTCGGGTGTTGAAGCCCATAGCCTGGTTTGTGTTGATATCATAGTAACAGAACACCTGAAGCCTGAAAGAAGAAAACTCTTAAGTGGGAACACTTAGAACTGTTCAATTGTTACCAATTGGCACCGTTAACATCTGGGATTGCACCATAGAAGGATTTATGGCGTACCAGTTCACTTCTGATAAGGAAAATACCATTTAAGAGTCTTTAAAGTTCTAAGTTTTGTCCAGATTTCTTTTAATAATGTCCAAGCTGAGAATTTCTCTTTTCTGACCAAAAGTCTAAAACCCAATGACCTGAAGTTTATCATGTTAAGACAAACCGAAAGCATTAAAAAGCTGACATTTAGAAAACTGAAGCACTTTTTGTTAATTAATCTTCCATGTCATTTTTCAAGCAACAGCTTTGATAATAAATTAATCATCCAACCTTCAGCTTGGTGATTCCAAGTCTCGAGATACTCACACAAAATCCGGCTCCTTCGACTGTGACAGCTTTCTCAATTCAAGTTCATCTGTGATGGAGATTTCATTCTCATACAGCATCATATTGGGCAAAAACTAAGAAAAGACAAATGGAAAATCATTTCTCAGTTTTAAACCTACCGCAATCAGCAAGCTGTTCAGCAGCATGCTTTACCTTTCTGGTCGTCCCACAGGAGTTTGCAGTGAAGACAAAATAAGCGTACTGGTCGTTGCTGTATGTGGGGCCACAGGCGGGGTTTCTGAGGGTGAGCCGTCGGGGGTTCAGACTGGGAACAGACTCCATGGTTATAGCCAGAGCCGTGATGGTCCCATTAGGGAAACACTCTGAAAAAGACGATCAGACATTTGTATGCATTGGAGATTCAAGCCTACATAAGAAAACATATTCTCTTTAACAAACCAATCAGCTTTGTGACGAAGTTGCAAGTCAAGGAGAAGTCTTTGATATTTGTGTTGGTCTTCGGATATCTCAGAGTCACATCCAGTCTGCTCTTGATGGATGACTCCTCAACAGCCTGAGAAGTTTTCAGAAACAATACATTATGATTTAAAGAGGACTATAATCTTGACAAATGTTGATAAATCCCTGCACATTTAAAACTTTGGTTAAGAGTCATACCTCGACCGTAGCATCAGCTGCAGCAGATGGTACAATCAAACTGAAATGTGTGTTGTTGCCCATTAAGCTGTACTGCTGAGCCAGGCTCCAGGTCAGCATTCGTTTTCCCATTATGGTCTGAAAGTTTAATCCTTTGGTCCCGTATTTCACGAGGACATGGAAATTCTTATCATCACAGCTACCTGAGACAGAGGGAAGAGCTGCAGAGGGAGGAGCTGCAGAGGGAGGAGCTACAGAGGGAGGAGCTACAGAGGGACGAGCTGCAAAGAGAGGAAAATACTTTGAAACAACTGTGTGTTTGTTATGAATTCCTCTTATCCATGGGTACGGACCTATGTCTTCCAGTTTAGCTCTCAGATAAGCAGTGGCAGTAAATGGAGCATGCTTTGGCAGGACCAGGAAGCCAAAGGTCAGATTAAGAGTGTAAATTGTAACCCCCATTTCTTTCTGTTGGGAGAAACAGATAGTTATTAGCTGCCAAAATTAAATAAAAAAATGCATTTCCCACGTTGAGTGTAAGGCTCACCCTTTGTCCTACGACACGGTCCGTGAAGGGCACTTCAACAGTATAGACCTTTGAGAAGCCGTTGGGGGACATTTGGTCAAAGACTTTAAAGCCTCTGGCAATGCAGTCGGCCAAGGACAAAACCTCAGAGGGGGAGCTGATGTTCTTTAGCGTTACATCAAAGCCCACCGGCCCAATCAACGCCTTAAACATCATCTCCTTGGGAACAGTGGCTGTAGGTCAACAATGAAGAAATTAAGGCAGGTTGCAATTTATGTAAAAAAGTAGCATGAGTACCAAGATAATATGACTCACCGTCAATGACTTGTGGAGGTTGAAGCTGCAGGGGGGTCTCGACGGGGAGGAAGACTTTGTATCTCGTGTCCTCATTAGTGTCGTCTTCAGTCCAGAGCAACTCGAGCATCAGCTCAATCATATAAGAAGTAAAGTACTGACCATCCTGGGCATGACTCTGCATAAACAAACATCCTGAGTAAGGCCTTTCCTGAATAATATTATCATCTACAGATTTAAAGAAAAAGGGAAATTTGCCTGGCAATGAAGCACTAGATGTTGCAACAGTCAAACATACTCACGCGATCTGTTTACATTTGTTTTGTACATACCAACAGGATTTCAGTAGTGTTATTTTCCATGAAACAACAAAGTGTGATTGCTTGTTAAACTGTGTCTCTAAAGTCTAAAATGACTTGAATGTACCATTTAACTACGCTGATTTCTCCACTGTTGTGAGAAATTCTTTAGATCCAAGAAATATAAACATCTACATTTTGCCCTTTTGTAGTATTCTAGATGTTTTTTTTGCATAGCTGCATACATGACTAAAACGACCTCGTCAATGTATGGACTCAATTGTTTTATCTAACCTTGATCTGGCAACCAGCAGCCCCAATAGGGATTTCAACAATGACGTAAAGGTCATCGAGAGTCAGGGAATAGTTTCTGGCCGAAATCTCTGTAGCTTCGAGCTTCCTCCCATCGACGCCCATGTTCACCTCCAACAGTCTGAAGTGTTTCGAGTAAATCAGAGGGTCAATGCGCCTCGGCAGGAACCAGCGGATTGAGGTTTCAGTAAAGAAAACCCCACCTGTACACCAAAAAAAAGCTAATAAATATATTTAAAGAAAGGTCTAACATGGAAAGATTTAAGGAAAAGGGCCAACGTTTCGGAAATAGTGAAATCCTCAAAACATTTTGACTGAACAAATAGTTAATCATTCGTATTTTATTTAAACAATCTGAAAAAGGAGAATTCAAATTATGAATGAAGCAGTTTTACAGCCACATACAGTAACACATCCTTAAAGTGTCATTTAAAAAAAAAAAGCACTTCTTCCTGGATACAAGTTCTGGTGGGGAAGATATTTTTGGCACCATTTTTAGAAAAGTTTGATATTTAAAAAAAGCTGGAATCAGAAATAATACTGGCAGATGTGTTTTTTTAATTCCTGACAGTAGAAAGTGCCCCAAATTCTGAGTGAAAAAAACTAGAAGACATGACATCAGAGAGTCTCTTTACATTACCCTGAGCTTGAGGACAAGCGGCTCGTGCATAAAGTGGAGTAGTCAGCTTCGTCTTCTCAAATATAATCGAGGTGCTGAGCACAGTCATCGGCACACCTGCTACCTGTGGGGGGAGATTACACAACATGTGGATGTAAATGCATACTGTGGTAACATAATAATTTCCCTCGTAAAAATATGGGGGGTTATAAATAAGAACTCACTGATTTAAGAGTGCCAACTGGATTCCAGACAAAGTAATGCATTTGAAAGGCTGTCTGATTACATTATTTTATCTATGGCTGTAAGTGTAAGCCAGTACCTAATGGGCTGCAAGTGATTTAACAAGTCTGCCTGAGGGGAAAGATATCAAGTGAGAGTTGTTTGAATCTCAGTGAACTGCAGTCCACTTACATCTTTGATGTATGTTTCACGTGAAGGATTTGGGCTTCGCAGCAACAGCCTGGTAGGAGTGCTTGAGATCCCATAACCATTTATCTGGGCTTCGTCCGCCTGCATGACCCTCTCCTCAGGAGTGAAGAACACCACTGTGTTGATTCTGAAGCTTGCGTCCATGGGTTGCTGTGAGGCAAATGTCAAGACATTACATACAAGATGTTTCTAGAATAAGAAAAGAAAAAGGCAAAATGAGCCAGTCTTACCTCAGCAGCTTTTCGGGGATCCGAGTCGGGGTATGCAGGCAGGTTATATTCATTTGGAGCTGCTTTTTTCACAGACACCTAGAAATGAGGCCACTCCATAAGTGATAATCAATCTCTGCAGTGACATGCAATGTACCGGCCTTGACACTCATACGAGGCATCAAGCCACTAATCATATAGACGGGAACATGCCATGCTGTGTTCACTTGCCTCCATGTAGTTGGGTTTACAGATAATTTCCCGGGAGGCGCAGGGAGAGTAGTAGCAAGTTTCTTCCACCAGGTGAAACTCGTCTTCAACCACATTGTCAGATTGTAGCCGCAGACCTAGTTTTGTTGTGAATGCTTTAACATCCTAAAACACATGGAAACAAGTCTCAAAATTAATTGCCACGTCAAAAGAAACATTTGGTGCTGCGTCACAAACTAGCATTCAGTCGTTTTTACCACATTTTGAGCAAAACAGTTTTGGACGGAGGCATAAATCACAGCATTTCCCAGGTGGTCTTCCTTGATGGTGAAGCCACACTGAGAAGATAGACTTGGCGTGAGGATGATTGAAGAGTTATCTGAGGAAACGAACAAGAAAAGTTTGAATTAAAAGTGAGATTAAGTTAAGAAAAAGCAACACATTTGAAATGTCAGCTTACTAATGACAGCGGACACTTCAAGAAAACTTCCTCCAAGTCGACTGACATCCACACGCAGCAAGTTTTCAAGGCATTTAGAGTTGATTTCTGGGATTAAAGATTTATATTAGATAGCAGCACACAAGTGTGTTGAAAAATATCACAAAAGGACAAAAACGTACTTATTGGGTGCTTATTTTGTGCCTCAATGTTAACAACTGCTACAAGGAGAATGAACCACCTGAAAAAGATTGAATACATTTTAAATGTATAAAGAAAAATAAACCTTAATTTAAAATATATACATAAAAAACAAAACTACAAACCCCAATCCAGCTGAACAACCCATGGCAAGAGTTGGGAGACTGGTGAAGGTCCCTGGTTTTTGCACTTTTTAAATGAATTTGTTGAGGATGAGGGAGGGTCCTGCTCAGCAGATATAACCACACACAGGTGGAGCACATTACTGCATAATGAGGTGATTGAGCAGGCCTGTGTGTAAAGTCTGAAGGGAATCCCAACATTTAAGGCATTGAGGGTAGCAGAATGGCTGACTGAGCAGGGGAGAAGTATAGAAATATCTTTCATTAAAAAAGAAACTGAAGCAATAATACTGAAGCATGGCCAAAGCAGTCGGATGAAGTTAAAAATAACTGAGTCCAGCTAAATCTGTTAATCAGCTACCCAGTTTAGAGATTAGTAAGTATTTGGCATGAACATTAAGTTAATTTACTTATTTGTTTTGAACAATTTTATATATTTGGTATGTTTCTTTTTTTCTTTGCATACACTTTTATGTTTAAATACTATACATTTTGCTGATATACTCACTTACTTTTACTTAAGTAACGTTTCTAATGCAGGACATATATACTTGTATCAGAGAGAGTATTTTTACTGTGTAGTATAAGAACTTTTACTTAAGTAAAATATCTGAATGTGTGTAGAAGAAACTCCCTCTAAAAGGAAACTTTGGGATTGTAGCTTTTGCACACGGCCAGGAGTTCAAAACTTTAATCTCAATCAGATCCGATCAGATTTTGAAATCCCATTTTTTGTGATCCAGGATCAGACAAGTCGGCCAGATTTTGTCCCTGTAGTTCAAAGCAATTCAGGATAGGATCACCCTGATCCAGATTACGACTTTTCAAGATTACTAGATCCTGAATATCAGTGCTTTAATCCTACCGATCGCCATCTAGTGGATATGAAAAAGAATACAAGGAAGACAAGAGACCACATTGCAGAGACATCTATAATGTTTAATTATATTTTTAAATGCATAAAGGACATTAAATCATAATCAAAAAAATACTCCCACTAGGGTAACAACAAAAAAACATTCATTCAAAGGCAGCTGGATCATCCAGGCGTGCTTTGAGGAGCTGAATTCTTAGTGAGGTTTCAGTTTGCTAAAGCCGGCACAGCTGTATTTGTTCTTCGGCCAGACGGATCTGAATCTCTGCCCTCTCCGTTTCACGGCTCAGCAGTGTCTCGTAGGCATCATCCCTCTGCTCTGGAACTGGTGATGGACTTCAGACGGCGCCAACACTTCCCCCGACACCAGTGAACATCCAGGGAGCGGACATTGAGATTGTGGAATCTTACAAATACCTGGGTGTTCACCTGAACAATAAACTGGACTGGACTGATAATTCTGCTGCTCTGTACAAGAAGGGACAGAGCAGACTCTTTCTGCTGAGGAGACTGAGGTCTTTCGGGGTGCAGGGGGTACTCCTTCAGACTTTTTACAACTCTGTTGTGGCATCAGCCATTTTCTATGGTGTGGCCTGCTGGGGCAGCAGCATCTCGGCTGCTGACGGGAAGAGACTGAACAGACTGGTAAGGAAGGCCAGCTATGTCCTGGGGAGTCCTCTGGACACTGTGGAGGTGGTGGGAGACAGGAGAATGGCAGCCAAGCTGTCCTCCCTGCTGGACAATATGTCCCACCCCCTCCAGGACACCCTGTCCTCACTGTGCAGCTCCTTCAGCGACAGGCTGCTGCACCCCAGCTGTCTCACGGAGAGATACCGCAGGTCCTTCCTTCCTGCAGCGGTCAGACTATACAACCAGCACAGCCCCTAGTAGACACATTTTTTATATTATATTTTTATTTTATCATAACTTAGTACTTTTTTCTTAACATAGGTAACATTAAGCTGTCTGTGGCTCTTTCCTGCTGTAACGATGCAAATGTCCCCTCTGTGGGACTAATAAAGGTATTCTGATTCTGATTCTGATTTTCTGGTGCGCTTGCATTTTCTCTTTCGAGGTGGCTCTTGCAGTGTGTCATCAGGCCTGGCTGAAGGTCCAGCTTCTGGATCCACAAGGGTCAGGAGGACCTCATCTTCAATGGTGTGTGTCACATCAGGTGCATTGACGACCTGAAATGAAAGTTTATCAATATACTTTATACCCCTTAAAGGTAGGGAAGGTAAGTTTGAGAAACCGGCTCGAGATCGCTAGAATTTGAAAATACACAACCGGAGAAAATCTGCCACTTCCTTATAGAGCCCCTCCTCCAACACACACGAACGCGCACATGACCAATGAGGGCACGAGATAAGTTTGTGCACAGATGGAAGGCTGACAGGCAGGTAGGCCATCCAGTTATTTTAGCCGGGCCGGCTAAAATGATTGGTCGTACTTTTTACAGTATTACGGCTTCCACAGATGACATTTTTTTATGGATTTTTTGTCAAAGCACTTAAGATATTCATTGCTATCGGGATGTTAAGAGCATTCCATGGAATATAACAAAAAGTGTATCTCGAGCCGGTTTCTCAAACGTACCTACCCTACCTTTAATAAGATGATCACAAGCATGCAAGCTCCTGGAAAATTGTAGTACTAGGATGCTATATAAAGGCCCTGACACACCAGGCCGAAATCGGCCGTTTTCGTTAGTCGGACGACGAAGTGTGCCCTGTCGCCCAAACTCAATTTGGTGTGTCCCGCACCGTCGGCCGTGACACGCCTTATTTGGCCTTTCATGGTCGTGCGTCGGCCACAGGCAGTCGGACAAAGAAATCACTCTGATTGGCTGTTCAGCTAGCGAATCAGTGCATGAGAAGCGAAACGGTTGCTTGAGAATGTCTTCCACAAGCAACACTCCAATGGCCAACACACTCTCACTCCCTAAACGTCCAGGAGCGACGCTTGGTCAGGGTCAGGGGTCAGGGTTTTTTTTTTTTTTGTTGTTGTTGTTTTATTGCCTGTCCTTGTCTACCCTTCCCCAAATGTAAAGCGTCTTTGGGTTCGAGAAAAGCGCTATAAAAATACAATTTATTATTATTATAATAATTGTAGTTCTATAGGGACAAGAATAAAATCACACATACCTGCGACTCACCATCCAGTACAACGTTTGGTATTCCATGTAAAGATTGTGACTGCTGACCACCAATGATATCAAGTACCACATCTGTGTATTGTCTCCTTTTATACGCGTTGTTACCCATCTGTGGGTTTTTAGCCTGGCTGTGGTCTTTGGTAGCTTGCTGCTTCAAATTCTTCCACCTCAACCTCACTTGGTCCAACGTCCTCTTGTGTCCAGATCCTGTGGCATTCACATTGTCCGTCACCTCCATCCATATTCCGCTCTTCACTTTAGTCGCTCCACCCTCTCTGTTAAAGCTACCAACTATGGAGTCATAATTGTTCCTTACACTCTGCAGCAGTGCACGGGTCTCAGCAGATGTAAAATTAGGCCCCTTTTTGTCCATCTTTCCAACTCAATGGTTTGGTCAGGTCAGCAATTAGTTAGGTCTGGCCTTGCTATTAATTACATAATTAACCACAGGCCCTAACCAATCTGGACATGCATTCCAGGTGTGTATTTGCAATTACTTATTATTCAGAGACTGATGTAGGCCTACTGACTGAAAGAACAGTCAGAACACAGTCATGGCAGGGATTGTTCACATCTTCCATGCTGGAAGGAGAGGTTACCGCCAAAGGGTCCACACCGAGCGCCCCAAACCTCTCCAACAGTACACAGCAGAAGAACTGTACAATCGTTTTCAATTTGGACTTGATGACATCAACTACATTGCTGATCTGGTCAGGCCACAACTGCAGTGCAGAACCTTGCGGAGTCATGCTCTGACTGTAGAGGAACAGGTCCTCATTGCCCTGCGCTTTTACGCATGTGGAACATTCTATCAGGTCATAGCTGACAGCATGGGAGTCCACAGGACAACAGTGGGTGAAGTGGTGACAGCTGTGTCTGATGCACTGGCTCGCCTGCTGGATCACTTTGTGACTTTTCCCAATGATGGCCAGATTGCCAAAGTGAAGCAGCAATTTTTTCTTCTGGGAGACATGCCCAACACCATTAGGGTGATCGACTGCACCCATGTACATATTCAAGCACCTCGTCAGAGGGAGTGGGAATATGTCAACAGGAAAGGGAGGCACAGCATCAATGTGCAACTTGTGGGAGATGCTGACCTTGCCATCACCAACTGTGTTGTGAGATGGCCTGGGTCAGTCCATGATGCACGAATCTTCAGAGAGAGCCGGTTGTTCACTGAATTTCAAACCAACAGGCCGGATGGAGTTATATTAGCCGACAGTGCCTACCCACTCCTACAATGGGTGATGACACCTTTTCCCACGGCAAACACTCCCTCACAGATGCGCTACAACAACGCCCATGGAAGAACAAGGTGTGCCATCCCTTACGCAAAGAAAATATATTTCCCCATATATTAACTGTCAATATATTGCATTATTTTGTTTTGTGATTTACTGGTTAATTGAAAAGATTTAATAAAATAAATCTTGCTGTTGGCTACACCAACTGATACTGATTAATAATCAACATGAAAAACATATTTATTCATATCTACAAAATATATTGAAGATATATAGAATAATATATTGTGTTAATATATTGCAATATATGGGATAATACATCAGTAATTGCCGCTTTCCATATATTGAGTAATATATGTAAATATATATAATATATTGGTTCTGTATATATGTGAACATACATTTACTATATATTAACATTTATATGGGGACATGTATGTACTCTATATTCAGATGTATATGGAGACATGTATGTATTATATATTCACAATTATATGGGGACATGTATGTACTATATATACAGATTTATATGGGGACATGTTTGTACTATATATTCACAATTATATGGGGACATGTATGCACTATATATTCAGATTTATAAAAGACCATGTATGTACCATATATTCCGAACATGAGTGCAATATATGTTCACAATGAGGAGAAATGCATGTTCTGATAAAAAAAATCTTTAATTCGTTTTTTCTATCAATGTGTAACAGTTATCAAAATACTCATTAAAATAAGGACAAGGAAAGAATAAAAGAAAAGGCCTATAAACAACACATTATGTAATGACTCAAGACAATTTCCACGTAATTATG